GCAAGAGGGAGGGGACTGGCTGAAGCCCTGTTGTCGACTGCCACACTCTGGCCACAAGCAGACTTTTCTCTGCTGCGCGCAAAAACAAAGGCTCACACACATTCAGTGGAATATTGTCCTGAAAATGTAAAAATATAAGAACGCATCATACAAATAATTCAAATTGTATATTTTATATTTTTTCGTGAAAATGCCGAGGTAGTTTTTTGAGTTGAAAAATATACAACCACACGCAAAGAAATATGGAGCCTTTCAGCATAACGGACACGTAAAAATACATGTGGATATCTTCAAGTTTGTTTGAGTCAGTTTTGAGACTAAACTAATCTGGTCCAAAACAACGAATGATGTTTTAATTGTATTCATTCAAAGTCTCCTGAATTTATATACATGTATTGGCATGCATTTGTCATTTTTTCTGCATTGCCAAAGACTAATTCAAGAATCCAAATGATCAGACAGCACATCATAATAACAAACATCCTCATTATAATTATTTGCATTAGTAATCTGCGTAATGGATAATTTCAGTACTGTCTAACTTAATTTTGTAATTTTTTGTTAACTTTTCTTTTGATGGCGGCGAGGACAGCCGCAGCGGCTCCTCTTGTTTTTTGTTGAGAGGGAAGAAATTTCATCTGTGCTGGAACACATTTGACAATAAAGTTGTATTCAATTCAATTCAATTTAGTATTTACATCCACATTTTATTACATTTATTGTTTGTAATGTATTATTATATATTATAATTTTTATTTAGTCCCAAAAACTTGTGCTGTAACTATGATTTACAACATCAGGTTTGATTTAATTTTAACAAATAAATTCATTAATCTCATGTTCGCTTGCATTTTATATTTTAGCCTCCGTTTTTACATTTGAAGTTGAGTTAGACTGGATGTTTTCAATGAAAGCCATTCATACATTATTATTATTATTATTATTAATACTTTTATATTTGTGGCACGGTGGCCGACTGGTAGCACGTCCCTCACAACAACGAGGACCAGGATTCAAATCCGTGCTTTCTGTGTGGACGGAGCGTGATCGTCCCGTGCCTGCGTGGGGTTTTTACGGGTGCTCCGGTTTCCACCCACATTACAAAAACATGCATGGTAGGTTAATTGATCACTTTGAATTGTCCCTGGAAGTGATTGTGAGCGCCAACGGTTGTGTGTCCTGCGACTGGCTTGCAACCGGTTCAAGGTGTTTCCCACCTACTGCCCGAAGATTAATGGGATCGGCGGCTCCAGCACACCCACAACACTCATGAGGATAATCAGCTAATAACGGATGTATTATTATTATTATTATTATTATTATTATTATTATTATTATTATTATTATTATTATTATTATTATTATTATTATTATTATTATTATTATTATTATTATTATTATTATTATTATTATTATTATTAT